CCCCACCCCCAATCCGCGCCCACACAGAATCCACACAACGCCTCATTGTCTGTGGCCTAGTAGTCGGCGCGTCTAGCGCAATATCTCTCGACCGCTGGTCAGTGTGAGTAGCAATGTCTTTCGTGTAAAGCTTGGTAAGTTTTTTACGGGGCTCGCATCTGACGGTCTTATATATGAGCGCGCGGGACACATTAAACATTTTCGTTTCGTAGGAAATTTTGAATATTGCCCGGATGGCGGCCGAAGCCTACTCTTATCGATTTTAGACCACCAAGGGATTTTTAACATTCGCAACTTGCAAACGTTACCTCCGAGATTTTTTGCCCTTACTTGTCCGAGAAGGCTAAATGTACAACTTTCCAACCGGAAGATCAAGGTTTTGCTGAAAGACAGCAGTAAGAAAGAACCAAGAAGTAGCACTAGAAATGCTACTGAAAGAGTCAGGTCCAGGAGCCCAGAGGAAGGGGCAAAGGAGGTGAGGGAGTGGGGGCAAAAAATGGAGACGAAAGCAGACGACAGAATATTGCAAGAGAGCAGGAAAGGAGAAAATTTTAGAGAAGAAAACTGCTTTCGTCGCTACCCGGTTTCGAGCCCGGGACCTTTGAATGAGAGGCGAACACGAGAGCCCCTCACCCCCCTCCCCCCTTTCCCCAATGTCTCTCTGCCACTAGTCAGTGCCTGTAACAGTCAACAATGCAAGTAGTCAGATCGTGTAGCAGTAGCATTGTCTCTCGACTGATGGTCAGTTCCTGTAGCAGTAGTAATGTCTGTGCCTGTAGCATTGTCTCTCGACCGATGCTCAGTGCCTGTAGCATTAGAATTGTCTGTGGTCCAATGGTAAATGCCTGTAGCATTAGAATTGTCTGTTGTTCAATGGTCAGTGCCTGCAGCATTAAAATTGTCTGTGGTCCAATAGTCAGTGCGTGTAGCATTAGAATTGTCTGTGGTCCAATGTTCAGTACCTGTAGCATTTAGCAATGTCCGTGGTCAGTGAATGGAGCAATGTGTCTCGGCCGTTGCTAGGTGCCTGTATCAGTAGCAACTCGCAATGGCCGTGGTCCGGCGCTAAGTGCTAACACATACCTCACCGGCCGCTGTGGAACGGCGTCAGGCTGTATTCACCGGTCATTTATTGTACCCGCGGACTCTCACGAAGCTGATTTATGTCACAGAGTTAGAAGAGTGACAGGGAGTGTACATTTGGGCGCTTTCATAGTGGAATTGTGTTATATCTCATTTATTATTATTGTTGTTTATGTTATGAATGTTATTGTTATTATTGTTATTATTATTACTATTGATGTTGCTGCTTTTTACTGCTATCATCATCATCATCATCATCATCATCATCATCATCATCATCATCATCATCAT